CCCCCCGCCAATGAGCCACAGGTCAGTTCCACGCCTTGGCCCACCCTGGCTGGGCACTGCCTGCTCCTGCCCCCTTCCTCCGTCCCTCCTTCACTGCAGGGAGCATTGATTTATGCCCCCCCACGCCTCTTCCCTCCCCCCTCCCTTTCCACCACCACAACAGACTTACCAGCTGCATTGGAAATCCGATCAGTATCGGCTGATATGCCTCCTTAAAAATCAGCTATTGGTATTGGCTCCCAAAATCTCTGTTGGTGCGCCCCTAGTAATGGCCAGACACAGAAACACTTCAGAGCTCCTTATTCCCTGTGGAAAATGTCTCAGGGGAATAACTGAATAAAAAGGTTATTCCATACCTATACTTACACTTATTTGGTCCTCTTAACTCTAATAAAATAAGTTATTCAACATCCTATTATTTTACCTTAAAAATGAGGGATATAAGGTGTGCTAATTCAGACCAGTTATGTAGAACAGCATTTCTCAACCGGTGGGTTGCAACCCAGAAGGGGGTTGCAAGAATATATGAAAGGTTTGTGAACAAATTTTAAAAAATTAACAAATTTAAAAAATGGATTTTCCTTTTAAGGAGAAAAACATGGGAAACTGGGTTTTCCCTTGCAGACTAGCAGAGTTCTAACCTACAAGGGACTGCTTGGGGCTGGGGGAATGGGAGGAGTGTGATCAGGCTGAGGTGCCATGTGCACGACAGCCAGGCGGCTTGGAAAGCAGCTCCTGCAGGTAAGTCTGCAGGGGAAAGGGGAGTCACAGACGACATGTCAGGGCAGCGGACGGACACAGGTTACCCCACATCCTCTCCTGGATAGAGCCATGGCCTGAGGGAAGCGGCAGAAGTTGCCAGGCCATGGACGTGAGGTAGAGCTACAGCCTATGCATCAGCAGCTGGAGGTGAGGGCAGCACGGTTGTCACACGGGTTCCTGTGGCAGTGGCAGCGGCAGCAATGAGTCTTGGTGCCCCACTCTGCCCTCCTGTGCCAAGTCCCACCTGCTGGGCCCTGGAGGCAGCTCCTCCCTATGCTGGTCCAGCCAGATAGCAGCCCTGTGCCCACTATGGGTGCACATGCCTGCTCCCATGCTCCACACACCAGGGGTCTGGGGGCAGCAGGTCAGGAGTGAGGGGCACCAGCAGGGCTGGAGGGGTGCAGAGTTGTGGGTTAGGAGTGAGGGGCACCAGCAAGGTCAGGTAACTGTTTTCTGCTAAAACTGTTTACTAGGTCAGGACTGACCAAAGTCTGTAAAGGTCCTGGCACAAAAAAGGTTGAGAACCACTGATGCAGAGCACCCCAGTGTTTCTGTTTCACACACAGAAAAAGACTTAATGATCTAGGATCTGGGAACCCAAACAAGGCACTGAAACAGTTGTGCAAGAAATCCCTGAACGCCACCAGCTGAAGGGCAACTGAGAGGCCCTAGGAGTACTTGCAGTCCATCAGCTCGTTAACTACAGCCCTAGGGAAGACATGCAAGGCAGGGGAAGACCTGCCTGGACACGGAGATAAGCCTTCAGAGCCACGAGTGTGGGGCAGGGCCCGGGAGGGGAGGGAGGAGGTGCCATCACGCTCGCACCCGAGAAAAGCTCTCATGGCCCCCTGGTTGGGAGTCACTGGGGGCGCGGGGGAATTAACACTCTGAATTTTCAAGCGGATGCGATCAAGAGCCCCTGGGCAAAGCGGCTTCTTCTGAAAGCCCCCAGGAGCCCCTGGCCGGACATGCTTCTAGCCGCAGCTCGGGGCAGCAGCACCCAGGAGCTGGTGCCAAGCCAGAGCCTCAGAGGCCTCCCCAACCCGCGCGTCCCCACCAGACGGACCCAGCTTCGCCCCCCGCGGAACTGCACCAGCCCGGCGCGACTCATTGCGCAGGCGCACGGCGGGAGGTACTACGTCACCGACGCACGGGGGTGTGGGGCGAACGGCTGGAGCGCGCGGCAGCGACTCCCCACCCCCGCCGGGCTGAAGCTGGGACTGCTGTAGTGACACCACGGTGGGCTGAAGCGTCTCGAGGGGAGCGGCAGAGCCCACGCGCCTGGCCGAGCCCCTCCCCCTGCAGCGCGCCCAGTGAGCGGCTCACCTTGGCCGCCATGTTGGCGGCAGCAGCGCCTCCTAGGTGCTGGCTGCCTACGGCAAAGCAGGAGGACCAAGCAACCAGCCGGGCCCTTCGCGGAGCTCTGGGGCGGGGCTAGTGGGCGGCTGCAGTAGCCACTCCCAGTTCTCCGGCGCGCTGCGGCCCTGCCCCGTCAGCCCAGCAAGTCGTAATTGAGCAAAAATAAAAAGTGTTGTTGAGTCTTTATAAAGACAGGCCGGAGCCCCGCGGATCCTGAGCTGGTCGCAAAGACCCGGCAAGACAGGCAGCGTCGATGCTGCCCGCGCTGACCTCAGTGTGGGGCACGAAGGGCCACTGAGGCGGCCACCGCCTGCTCTGCTGTGGGAGTCAGGCTCCTTGGGGGCAAGACCAAGCCAGGACCCAGTGCCTAGACTAACTAGGGCACAGGAAGTGAATGGAGAATCAGGAACGAAAGACCCCCCAGCAAACAGCTCCCTAGTGGTGGAAAACACTCAGCGGAGGGCTGGCTGTCGTCCCTCTGCAGCTCTCAGGTGCCCAAGAACCCCAGTGGCTGAGTCTGCACCCTCACCCCACAATCAGACCTCAGCTGGCCCCTTCTGCAGGCAGAGGGAGACCCTGCGCACATAACCCTCTACGCCAGGCTGCAGCCCATCAGCTTCCACTTCCAGAGCCGCCTCCTGAGGTTCTGGTTGAATTTCACCCCCCATCTTTTTGTTCTTGCTCACGCCATCCATGGCCCCATTAAGTCCTGGGACCTCCTGGTCACCCGCAGCCTGGCCCTGGCCAAGTGGGCCCTGTACTTGACCAGGAAGGAGGCTTTGGCCAGGAATGTGCCCTGAGACTGTGGGGCCGCTTTCCCCTCACTTGTTCATGCACCTTTCCAGGCAGAGCACCAGTGGGCGGTGTCCACTGGCTCCTTGGATGCCTTTGAGAACTGTTGGGTACAGCTCAGGGGGCTCTGCTCAGTGTCCACCTCAGGCGCACTTATTTTCATGTTTTGACCCTTTGACCCACGCAACACTTCTATCCTGTTTTTTTCATTAGTTCCAACAATTTAATTGTACTGCTCACTCATTAGCCTCACATGGGTTTACTAGTTAGCCAGGTGGGCCTTAGGGCCCAGGGTATGAGTGTTACAAATAGACAGTTGCCTGAGAACAGGCCACAGGGAAGTGCCTGGGGCCTCCTGTCCTACTGAGTCTAAAACCTCAGTGTAGGTGCCTGTAAACTTTCTCCAGGTGGGTCACTCTTCATTTAAACCATAGCTGGAAAAGAAGCTATTTATTTCAGAACTGGGAGATACTGATTTGTTCCACTTACAAGCCTGCATGGGTTTAAACCTCAGTTTTCTGCATCCCAGGAGACTGCTCTAACCATCTGGCTGTAGAAGTAGAGGGATACCCCCCATCTTCCTCTTCATGAAACTACCACTATGCAGAAAGGCGTTCAAGACTTTGGGCATGTCTACAAGAGATGCTTACTATGCATTAGTCTAATACCACTGCGTAGTAGCGTAGTGGTCAAAAACCATGCTAGTAACCTACTGTACAGTAGTATTAGGCTAATTCACAGTCACTGTCACTAAAAACCTGTGCTGGCGCTACTGCTCAGTAAATATAGTTAAGCATTTAGTTAATACTCCATTAAGGAAGTACTAAACTAAATGCGCAGTAACTAAGGTGTGTTAATGAATGCGTAGATGCGCCCACTAATACATAAAGAAAGCACAAGAGGGGTCATGACTGTCAACTCCTGGTCAGAGCTAGCTTTTGGAGTGGGAGGCGTGGACAAATGCCCAAGACACCATGGTTAGGAGGGCTACATGCATGCACACATGCACATGCATGCTCTGTCCTGCCCTGTTGCTCATGCCATGTGGGAACCACTGGGGGACTTTGGTGGCAACTAATCCTAGGGGCTGGGCAGGAGGGTCCGCCATGCCCAGAGCTGATTGGAGACAGACAGCCAGGGCAGCAGAATAAAAAGCCCCTGGGTAGTGATGGCAGCAGTGGATGCTGCCAGGCAGCATGAGGAGCTGAGAGGAGGGTGCCAAGGCCTTGGCCAAAGGTAAGGCAGTAATGTCCCATGAGAAGATGTTGCATCTGGCCAGCCCCAGCATGCACACCAAGGGCTTTACAAGGACTGACTCGGTGGGCCTGGGGGCTGAGCTGCAGCCCTCCACAGCCATCACCACCACTGCTGAGGGCAAGGGTCTGGGTGGTCCTGGGGCGCACCCCCCTGCTGCTGGGGCTGGCTTCCTATGCGGGCAGCTCTGCCTGCCCAGCTGCCCTTCCTGCCACCCCACACAGCCCCTGCCACGCGCCCAACCCCACTGCCCCGCACCAGGCCAGCATCTCAGGTGAGCAGACATTCACGATAGCCCACAGGGTGCCCTCCCACCCATAGCTACTGGCGTATGTGCTCCTCACTTATGCACCCTTACCCCAACACACACCATCCCACACCCCCACATCCCATGCACAAAGCCCACACACGGCACTGGTTGACTTGGGGGGTGCTGGAGAAAGGACAACACACACACACCAAAATACAAATTTGCCAAGGGTGCAATTTTTCCCTAAGGCCTACTCTGCTCATGGTTAGGTGAGTCAGTGCTAAACACATGAGCAATAGGTTAGAGCTGGGCTGTCCTACTTCTGAGCCAGTGCCCCCACTCCCTGTATACCATGCCATGTGCATCCCCTCTGTACCATCCCAATCATAGAAACATAAAATCATAGAAAGTTAGGGGTGGAAGTGACCAGGAGGTCATCTAGTCCAACCTGCTGCTCAAAGCATCACCATCAACAACTAGCCAAAGCTTTGTCTAGCTGGGTCTTAAAAACCTCCAAGGATGGAGATTCCACCATTTCTGGGTAAGCTTTTCCAGTGTTTTAGTGATTAAAATTCTTCCTAAAATCTAACTTTGACACTGTTTCTCACCCCATTCTCATTAAAAAATTAGGTGACTGTGGTGTCGACACCTACACAGTCAGATGGGTTGCAAATAAGTTGGAGGGCCGCACCCAGAGAGTGTTGGTGGATGGGTGTTTTTTGACATGGAGGAATGTGGGCAGTGGGGTCCCCCAGGGCTTGGTCCTCAGGCCCGCACTGTTCAACATCTTCATCAGCGACTTGGACGAGGGCGTGAAAGCACCTTGTTCAAATTCGTAGATGACACTAAGATGTGGGGAGAAGTGGGCGTGCTAGAAGGGAGAGACAGGCTACAACTAGATCTGGACAGGGTACAGGGGTGGGCGGATGAGAATAGGATGGGTTTCAATACTGACAATTGCAAGGTACTGCACCTAGGGAGGAAGAAACAGCAGCATACCTACAGGCTGGGGAACTCCTTTCTTGTTAGCACAGAGGCAGAAAAGGATCTTGGAATCACTATGGATTCCAAGATGAACATGGGCTGCCAATGTGAGGACACGATCAGTAAGGCTAACTGCGCCTTGTCATGCATCCACGGATGCATCACAAGGCTGCAGTTGGAGTACTGTGTCCAGTTCTGGGCGCCGCACTTCAGGAGGGATGTGGACAGCATTGAGAGGGTCCAGAGGAGGGCCACTTGCATGATCAGGGGGGCAGCAGGGCAGGCCCTACGATGAGAGGCTATGGGACCTGAACCTGTTCAGCCTCCACAAGAGAAGGCTGAGAGGGGATCTGGTGGCTTCTCTTATGAAGGCTGAAGAGATCTAGGTCCTTCAGGGTCTCCTTGTAGGGGCTTGCATGCAGGCCTCTGACTATATGAGTGGCCCTCCTCTGAACCCTCTCAAGATTCTCCGCATCCCTCTTGAAG